GTCGGACTGTCAGCGCGCCGGGCGCGGCGGGGCCGAGACAGATAAAACCATCGACCCGTCGCCGCCAGCGCTTCGGCTTTATCGATCCGACGGGAATTTCACTTGCTGTGCAGATCCCGCTGTCCGGCTGTCAGACACCGGGTTGGGGGGTGGGGGGACGTGCCAGGGGTTATGGGGTGCTGGGCTGGGCCTGGACGCTAGGGGCACAGAAGTGGGGGATGCAAGACACAACTGTGAGGGGCGGGGCAGATGTGAAGGCTCCGGGTGGGGAAATGGACCTGGGCAGGAGGATGTGGAAGTACGGGATGCTCTGAGAGGATGTACGGGAGGAGGGATTGGTGCAGGGTCATGGGTGGGGTGGAGAACTTCTGCGTGCAGAAGTGGATGCCCTGGGCAGTGCAGGGATGGGGCCACAGGGACTAGGCCGTAGTGTGGTCCCCACTGAAGACGCAAAAAGAGAGCTTAGACCCCCATTCCTCAGACCCTTAGGGGTGCACTGCAACTACAAGGCTCTGCAGGTCCCTCCATCTCTCCCTCTATATTCAGTTCCTGTTAAGAATTCCTCTGTTGGGAGTAAATTACCCAGAAACACTCGCAGACAGCCAAGGTAAGGAACTCAACTGCAGAAGGGTGTTTCTTTCACTCTCTGCCCCTTCTAGGCTAGGCCTGGTATGTGTGTGGGAGGGAGTGGTTAGTGGTTAAGAGCATGGGCGCTAGGGTCAGACTGCTTGGGTTTGAATCTTATCTTTACCACTCTACAGGCTGTGCAACCTTAGAGAAGTCACTTAACCTCTCTGTACCTCAGTTTCCTCTTCTGTAAAATGGAATTAATAATTATTACCTACCCCAGAGGACTGTTGTGAAGATTAAATAAATTAATACAATGTAAAGTTCTTGGCACACAGTGTTCAACAGGATTATTATCATCATTAGTATAGTCTTCTGTGGTAGTTTTAAGTATTCCTACAAATTCTTTGATATTCTTCCCTTCAAGAGGTAGAGCTTATGAATTCTCTTTTGAGTGTGCGCTGGACTTGGTGATCTGCTTCTAGTGAGTAAAACAGAATATAATAGAAGCCACAGTGTAGGAGGCTAGATCATAAAAAATATTGTGGCTTCCTCCCCAGTCTCTCTTTTGGATCACTTCCTCTGTAGGACGTCAGCTGCCACGTCACAGGGAAACTCACACAGCCCTCTGCAGAAACCCGCATGTTGAGGAACCAAGGCCTCCTGCCAACAGCCAGGCGAGTGAGCCATCCTGGGAATGGATCCTGCAGCCCCAGTCAAACCTTCGGGTGACTGCAGCCTTGGCTGACATCTTGGCTGCAGCCTCAGGGGAGATTCTGAGCCAGAAGTCACAACTACCCAACTAAGCTGTTTCTGAATTGATTACCCGCAGAAACTGTGAATTATTAAGTGTCTGCTGTTTTAAGCCACAAGGTTTGGAGGGGATTTGTAACACAGCAATAGATAACTAATACTTTGCCTTTGAAGTTCAGCTCAGGCCTTGGCTCCCTCAGGAGGCCTTCTCTGCACTGTGCTGGGTTTGGTGCCTTCTCATCGCTCCCACAGCTCCCAGTCTCGCCACAGTGCAGTCTCTATCCCTTAGGGTTTCTAGTGCCTGGCTCTCCTTACACTCACATTACAAGCTTCTGACAGTGGGACCACTTCTGATTCACCTTTGGATCCTCTGAACCCTGCATGGGGGACCAGGTGAGAGGGTAGAAGAAGGAGGATCAGTCAAGTCTGGTGACTCGATCTGAACAAGGGGTGAGACTGGGAGTCGTGGGGCAGGCTGTTTCTGAGTGACTGACTTTACTTCCTAGAGATGGCTGCAGCCACATCTCCCATCTCACAGGCTCCTCTGTAAGAGGAGCTTGCCACTCTCCCTCAAAAGATAGGGTGTATGTCCCCACCCCTAAAATCTGGGTGAGCTAATACTGCCTCGACCAAGAGAGTACAGCAGAAGTGACATTAAGTGATTTCTGAGGCTAAGTTATAAAGGTGGTCCAGCTTCCGTCTCATTGCCTGGAACATTTGCTTTCAAGCCCTAAGCTGCCATGCTATGAGGAAGCCCAGGCCACAGGGAGAAGCCATGTGTAGGTGCTTTGGTTACAGCCCCAGCTGAGGGCCTACATCAAGCATCAGATGTGTCAGTGAAGAAGCCAGACGATCCCAGCCTCCAGCCACCAAGTCTTCCCAGCTGGGGCCCATACATGGTAAAACAGACACAAGTCACTCCCTCTGTGCTCCACCTGAAATCCTGATCCCACAGATTCCACGGTGGGCATCATGAAATGGTTGCTTTAAACCACTAAGATTTGGGGCAGTTTGCTACACCCCTCCTCTGCTCCCTTTGACAACCTTGGCTCCTCCACGAGGCCCTGGAGGAGGCTCTGCCCAGCCCTTCAGGTGGGGGCCTGGGAGCAGGGGAGACACGCCTGAGCACATTCTCAAAGTTGCCACCTTTCAGACCTTGAGACTCATGGAGAAGGTGGTGCCTTCTCCCCTGGACAGCAGCCCAAGGCTGCACTTCGGGTGGGGTCTGTCAGGCTGCTTCTGTTACCCTGCCCTGAGGCTCTGCATGGCCCTGCAGGGCCAGAGGCAGTGGCTCCTCCCCTTTCCTCCTCAACTTTGTGCCCTTTTGAGGCTGAGGCTCACTTTCTTCACATCTCCAAAAAATGGAGCAAGAAGAGAAAGGTAGCACCATGCAGCTGGAGGAGCTGAGGACTGAAAGCAGAGTGGAGAACGGCAGCAGGACCCTGCCTTCTGCTGAGAGGCGGGGTCCTGGTGGCCAGACCCTGAGAGGAGGCCTCCAGCAGGCTGGCTCCCCAGTAGGCGGCTTACCTGGCGGGCAGCTGGGCCAGCTGTTCCAGTTCTTGCTCCATATGCTCCTGCAGCTCGCTGGGCCTCAGCAAGACCTGGCAGATGGGGCAAATAGGGGCCTGGCTGTCAAACAATGCTGCTGCCTTTTTCTTACCTGGCGAGGGAAGAAGAAGAAGAGACAGACTTATGAGCTGGGCTAGTCTGCAGACAGAAACCCCGAGTCCCAATCCTCCGACCCAAGACTGCTATTGCCTCCTAGGGCTTCTGGGCCCAGAGGAGGGGTAAGCCTGAGGGTCTCAGAGCCCGTGAACATCACTCCACTTTGCAGCTCCAGAGGCTGTGGCCATGACCGGCACCTCCTCAGCCAGCTGCCTCTCTTGGAAATCTATCAGGACACAATCAATGCTCTGTGCAATCAAACCTTGATCACTTCATTTCACACGTTAGTGAAGCAGGTCTTGGTTTAATCACAACATCACCCAGAATATCCAGGGCCCCTGCTGTCTCTCTTTTCCTTACTGCGTTCACACTCCCCAAAGTTGGAGAAAGAAGGAAAGAGGGAGGAAAGGGATTCATTCCTGCAGTCATTCAACAAACATCGTCTGATGTCTACGCTGAACCAGGCCTAGTGCAGAGCAGTGGGGATACAGAATATAATCAGATCTAATCCCCGCCCTTGAGTGGAGTGCTCATGGTTGAGGGGAAGAGATTGGAAAGGCCCCGGGTGTCTGTCAGGGTAGCGTTCCACCGCAACTCCTTGCTTTTCCCCACACTTCCTTCCTTGGCCTCTCCTCTCCTCCTGCAGGTGGGATGATCTCATTCATTCTTAAGACCCTCGCTCCACCTATGCCCTGCTGACTCTAGAATCTTTTTCTCTACCTGAGATCCTCCTATGTTCTCCAGGCCCCTATATCCAAACTCCTAATGGACACCAATGCTTGGGTATCCCACAAGAATCTGAAACACAACAATTTACAATTGACTACTTCAGCTTCTTCACTGCCCCCCTTCAGTGGTGTTCTTCTCACTTAATGACACCTGCACTCACCGGGTCACCCAAGCCAGTAACCTTCGCCTCACCCTCTGCCCCTTCCCTCACCTTACCCCTGCTCCCACCTTCATCTAACCACCAAGTCCTGTCTGCTCTGCTCCTATATTTCTGGAATCTACATTCTCCCAGTTCAGGTCTCACTGCCTCTCACTTGGATAATCTCATTGGCCTCTGTGAGTCTCACAGATTTTGAGTTTTTCCCCCTGCAAAAAGCCCTTCAAATTATGTACCTCCAATACACAAGCACACAGCTGGCTATACTGACTTGGGGGCCTGCTGGGAGCCTGAACTCTGTCCCCGCTCGCTGATGGTAAACCAGAGTACACCGTGCTAGGAAGGGGCCTGAAGGTTGCCTAGTGCACCCCTTGGGATATCTAAACCGCCTCCTTTGCCACCCTCCCCACCCAGTGCTCCCCTGGCCTCTGCTTACAGGCGTGGGGTTGAGGAGCCCTATTCATCTAGAAGCATCCCTGCCTATCCATGTAAACTCTGACTGTAGAAAGGACTTCTTTAGCTTAAGGCCAGATCTTTCTCCCTGCTTCTTCTTCCTACTTGTGCTTGGAGAGGCTCAAAATCAGCTTTCAGAGAGATGAAGTCCATGCCAGTGATGACCAAGATGGTTACTTGAGTAGGGTTGCCAGATTAAAGACAAGATGCTCTGTTGAATTTCACATAAATAATGAATAATTTTTTAGTATAGGTATGTCTCAACTCTTGCACAGGATATACTTACATTAAAAGTTGTTCATTGTTTTTCTAAAATTCAAATTTACCTCGATGTCCTGTGTTTTTATTTGCTAAGTTTAGTAACGCTATGCCTGAGGGAGTTCCCAGTTCAGACTGAGCACAAGAACCCACCTCCCTTTGTAACAAGACTGAGGATGATCACGGCTCTCCTGGAAGCCCAGACGGGTCATCTGAGAGCTCAGAGGAGGTAGTAATTCATTCGGGGTGTGTGTTCTGAGGAGTGGAAAAAGAGAAGAGCTTAACCAAAGAAATGAAATTTAAGATGTACCCGAGAAGTGTTCCAGGCAGAGAATGGAAGTGAATGAATGAATGAATGAGTTGTGAGTTTCTTGTGGGCAGGGACCATTTCTTAGCCACCTTTTTATCTCTGGACAATTGAAAACAGATCTGGCATAGATTAGATGCTCAAATGAAGCAAGAGAGCAGAGAAGAGGAAGGGAAGGAGGAGAAGCAGGAATGAAGAGTTGATTGTCCCAGAAGCCAGATGATCTTTCAGAGCTGGGATGTCAGCCGTGGAGGCTTTGTGTGTGCTGGGGTTGGGTAGGAATGGCTCTAGTAGGTGTGGCCAGGTTTCTGAGGAGGGGAAGGGGCCCTTCTGATCAAGTGCCCTGGTGGCTGTGCCTCCCATGCTCAGGGGACAGCTGGAAGGCAGCTCTGAGTAAAAGAAGTAGATGTGGCCCTGGTCTGGGAGTGGGGAGGTGAGGATTCTAGGCTCATTCTAACTTCATTCAGCCAGCGAATCTCAGAGGTAAGTGAGGCCCTGGGAAATCTGCTGGCCATTATCTCTATTTTACAGATGGGGAAACTGAGTCTCAGAACTGGACAGAGACCCCTGTACTTGGCTCTTGATCTCATTGCTTCATTTGTTTATTCAGCAAACATTTACCAAACAATTATTTTAGGAGAAACTGGGGCTCAGAGATAAAGAAAACACATTCTTAGCCTCAAAGGGAGCACAGACTAGTGGGAAAGCCAAAAAAGAAAGTCAGTGATTGTAGTCAGTACAGCCCTGGTCAGGGCTGAGGAAGGTATGAACAGGTGTTTGAGGTGGGAGAGAGGGGGAGGAAGGGACCAGAGGAGGGTGGTAGGATCCAGGGAGAGGCATGAAGGATGAATAAGGGAGAGCTGACAAGGCTGTTGGAACCTGTCATTGAGGCGGGACCTGGGGCATAAGTGGGGAAATGGTAAGAGAGGAAACTGGGGAAAGAGTAGGACCTAGGGCATGGGGTGGAAATATCAGAATTTCAGCTCCTTTCAGCCTGGGATACCAAGTATGGCTCTTAGGGCTTCCTAGGGCCCAGAGTCCTCCCTCTACACCTGGGACCAGGCATCAGCATCCCCATACACCTGTCCTCAGTCCATCTGCTTTGCTGCCATAGGGATCTTCTACTTTTCTAAGCTTGGCCTCAGTTTCCCTATCGGGACAATGGGCCTTCTTCCTGGCTTCCAGCTTCAGAATAGCATTCATAGGAGTCAGCGGAGGGACCTCGCATCCTATGCCCTCCATCCCACTCCTATTTTCTCAGGGGTTGGAGAGGCAGGTGTCAGCATGGCCATAGGCCCCCTGCCTCCCCACCCCCGCTGTGTTCCCTATAATTTTATATTGAGACCTGTGGTCATGACGTGGGTTTTACTGCACTAACGACATGGCCTGCCCAGGTTTAATGACAAAATCCATACTCTGGCCCTGGGCCTGCTCCTCGTTTGCATAATTCCCAGAATACAGCTCCCTGAAGCTTTTGACCTGGGCCATTACAGTGGCCATAAAACGGGCCATAAAACTGCTGGGGATGGCCAAGAGGAGGGGGCTGTGGTCTGGCGGGGGTGGCAGCCAAGTCTTCAACCCCCTACTCTTCCTGGGCCCAAGAGGAGGCATCTTCCTGCTCTTGCCTTTCACAGTTCCCAGAATCTGGTCGTCCATCTCAGGCTGGAGAGGCCTCTGGAAATCCTTAGTCCAGCTGCCTGTCTGATGCAGGACTCACTTCTCCAGCACCACGGGCAGCATCACTGGTGGGCAGACAGAGCCCACCAGGGGCAGGCTGTTAGAAGGCATCTCCTCCTTGAGCATTCCTCACTCCGGCCCCTCCCCCGCCCCACAGCTGGCCAAGCCCTTTGCCACAGGTGGGTCCAGGTCAGGCGGGCCTAGGTTGAATCCTGTCTCTCCTCCAGCAGCCTAGCTCCCCAGGGAGGTCAGGAGCCAGGCTGAGCAGCCTCGTGGGGAGACGTGGGAAGCAAGAGGGGATGGGGACAGGGACTGGGACGGGCTGTCAGTGCTAAAGATGATGAATGGGGGAGGTGAGGCGGGAGGCCCAGTGTTATCGGGCGGTAGATGGCGGGTGCGGGCTCTCGCCGCTTCTGCTAATCCCCGGGCGCTGCCTCAGCCCTTGCACTGATAACGAGGAAATGGGACTGACAACAATTTTTAGTTGAGAGATTCTTCACCAAAATGCCAGGCGGCCGGAGGTCTGACAGCGCCTGATTGAGTGTGTGAGTGTGTGTGGGGGAGGCCCACGGCCCCCTCCCCTCCCATGCAAAGATGGATCGCTCATTCCGCCTCCCGTCCACATTCATTACCGCGCCTCCCTCCCGCCACCCTAGCCGCCGCCTCCCCTGCCACCTCCGCTTGGCTGCCTGCCGCAGGTATCCCCCGAAGCAGGAGGAGAGCAGGGAGCAGAGAGGCCCTGACCCTGTCCTCAGCCTCACACAGGACCCTGCAAGCTGGAGTTGCAGAGGAGTGACTAGCAGGGGTCAGGGCTGTCAGGTCCTGCCTGGAGGCTCTCTAGTTGTTGGAAGTCCAGAGGGTCCCTTTGCCCTTCTGAGCTGCTAGAATATCCCCTCTCCCCAGAAAATAGACAGGCTCCAACAGGAAGTGACTGCGGTTGTGGGGAAGGGCAGGAAAGTTGAGAGAGAGGCAGTCAAGCCAAGTAGCTTTTTCCCTGCCTGGGTGAGGCTCCTGCCCTTGGATCAAGGCCTCAGGTACCTGGGGTCCCAGATCAGCCCTCTGCTGCCCCCCTCTGTTGGGAACTGCTGACCATTGGGAACTGGCAGCTCCAGGGCCGGCACAGAGGCTCCTTCTCTGTCATCTTCCCTAGTGAGGCCTGGTGCAGAACTGGGCACTGGAGGATGAGAGTCTCATTCAAAGAAAAAGCCCTCCCTTCCTAGATCACTAACCCGGGCCAGCCCTGCGACTCCCTGCCATGTGATTGCCTCTCCAGCTGGGCCTGTTTGGTTTTGTCCTGGTTCTGCTGCCTGTGGGTTCCAGTCTTGCCTCTCTGCTTGTTCAAGCAGCAAGTCCCATCTCCCTCTTTTCTCTACAGACCACAAAAGGCAGAGCTTGACTACCCGGTGTCTGACTT